CAGCATGCTATCTGAACTTTTCATAAAAACTAATTTAATTAAAATACTATATTAATTAAAATATATTATCACTCTAATATTTTCTAAGTTCTCGAACAAAATATATTGATGAAAAATAATGATTTATAAAGACAGTTAACAGTACTTAGAAATTAATGCTACCTGTTTCAGAGGTAGATTAAGTAAACGCTTTACAACTTCGATTAAAATGTTTTGATGTTGATTTATATTATCGTTATCTTCTAAGATAGTACGATTATGAGAAAGAATAATCTCAGTTTCATCTGTAGTAATTTGATCATTAACAGATTCAGTTTTTTCTATACACGCTGTTGTAAATTTTGTAATACCAACATTAGTTTTATTATCTGATACATTTTTAAATTCATTTTTATTGTTTTTTATTGTTTTGAATATCGTTTGCACATTCTTCTTTTTATTTTTAGAAACTGTTTTGCCATTTTTACCACCATTTTTACTTTTCGAATTATTTTCTATTTTTTTATTATGTTTTATATTTTCATTTGTAAATCCATTAATATTTGTTTCATTTTTTTTCAGTTTCAAAGACTTTTCTGCTTTTTTAGCAATGCAATATGATTGAACATCGCGTCTTAGATCTTCCGATAATGCTGCTAAAAACTCTGGATCTACTTGTGAATATGAAATATTTTGTTCATCATATTTAGTTTCTGAAGAAATTGGTTTATTACTCGATGAATTGTTATTTTTATTTATATTAGTATCCATTTTACCTTCATTTTTTTTAGCATATTCATTAAGAATTTCATTTCGTATATCTTCAGGTAATTCTATTAGAACAGACATATCAATTTCTTGAATAGGTGGCATTTCTATCTTTGTTGGTCTTGAAATACCAGATTTTATTTGTTTAAAAAAATTTTCATGATGCGTTTGTACAGTTTTTGATTCATTTTTATATGTAGTTTCTATATTAACAATTTGATCTTTTTCATTTTCTGTTTGTTTCTTATTTTTGTCAATATCTAAAATTTCATTTTGTATTTCCATCGGAATTGAGTCGCTGATATCAAATGGAATGCATAATTTATCTCCGTTATTAGTAGTTCTAGAAACTGACGCAATAGTATTTGAATTTATTAAAGGCTGAATGTTATTGCTTGTATTTGTTTCAATAGATCGATGAATTGTACTATTTTGTTTATTTTTAATGAAATTTGTTAAAGTTGTATTGCGAGATTTATTTTTTAATATTTCTAGTCTAGATATTTGTATGCCGATACCTCTTGCATCTTCTGGTATTTTTTGCATTTGATTCCAAAGTATAATAACTTCCCTGAAGTTATTATAAAAAGTTTATTAAAAAATGAATAATTTATTCTATTAATTCATTAAATCAAAATACATGCATGAGAGCAAATGAGAATACATTATGACGTATACATTAATTACTATAATTTTTTAAATAATCTTTTTAAACGAACCATTTTCATTACTTCTAATCGCTTTATAATCTAGAATAATCGTTTTACAATCTATATCGAAAAACAATTATTAATAAATCGCCAAAACAGTTGAAAATAAAGTTTTTATATATTTTTCTTTACTGTTATAAAATTATTTTATTTGAATTGTTAAAATCTTTATAAATTTTTTATTGATCTTTTAAGAAATTGATCTTTATAGATATATATAAATAATATCAAATACGATCATATTTAAATTAATTTCTACTTTTAAAATTAAATATTATATTCATCTAAATATTAATTCTGTAAAATGTCTTATCGTATCTCATTTGCTTTTTTTTTGTTTCTCATTTCGATTTATTTATAACAGACCAATCTGAAGTCAGATATTAGTAATCAATTCGTCGTTAATAAATTTTAAACTACAATTTAGAATATTTAATGTATTAAAAATAAAAAATATCGAACGAAATAGAAAATGCTATTTATAAAAATGCGAATAATTATATTATAATTATATTTTAGGTACACAAGAGCGTTTGCTTGTATTGAAGTTTCATGAACAGGAAAAATAAAATCGATTTTTTATAAGCAGAAAGATAAAATCGACAGTAAAAATACAGCGATGCATCCTCATTTCTTTCTATTGTATAAAGAATGGCGATCATCTTTTTTTTGATTTGTGACAAATTTAAAGTTCTCCGGCCAACAACCCAAATCATTCTTGTACTTTTGCTTATTATCTTATAATTTTACAATTCCAGCAGTTGCTCATAGATGGCGGATGTATGACATGAATGATGGTATGTAGTGTACTGTTATTTCTGTTTCTCGCTTGCTCTCGCGCGCGTTTCAACTTAAATGAATGACTTAATGAATGACTATAATTATATATTACAATAATTCTGTAACTTACTTTGTTATAATATCAACATCATTAATCGGAGTGATAAAATTTTTTGATTTTGTTACATAATCACACAATCCGTGCCCCATAAATTTTTCAGTTTCTTTAGGTGCTTCTTTTGCTCTAATTAAAACTTTTAATGTAATGCATCTACCTTTTGCGTTAGCTTTTTTCAATCGATTATATACTTCATGTGATAATTTTTTTAAAAAATCTATCGCATCGTCGTTACTTTCGAATCTTATTCCATAATTTACTTCTGCAGAAACAGATTTTCTAATATGTTCTAAATTAAGTTTCGAATTATCTATACCACGACACATATTATATAAAATTTCACTCATTTTTTTGCCAAATTCCTTTTGTAATGTCATCAAGGGAATTTTTTGTAATTCCGCACATGTTCGTATATTAATATTGTTTAATTTATGTGTTGTTGTCCATCCAACTCCTAATTTAAATAATAATTATTATAAATAATTTTAAAATGAGCTTAGCACTATCATTAATCCAGCTTAAATACTCTACCTGGCAAGTCTTGTACATTAAAAGAACTAATGCAATTATTAATGTGTTCTTGTTGTATATAAAATTGACCATTTGGCTTTGCTTTTCTTGTTGCTAATCTTGCTAATAATTTGTTTCTTCCAAATCCTGTTGAAACAGGACAACCAGTTTTTTCTTTTATTTCCTGTCTAATTATAGTTGCAAATTCCATTGGTGTTAAACTAGATTCTTCTAATATTTTTGTGCAATCTGCATACATTTCATCACAACTAACTGCTTCAATATCTAATGTATATGATGCTACAGTATCATATAATATATAAGAAACTTTTGTATAGCCTTCAAAATTATATGGTATTGTTCTTAAATCAGGACAAATTTTTAATGCCTCTCCTAAAAACATGCCATTTTTTACACCAGCTTTTCTTGCTTCATAAGAACAAGATGCTATCTCTGATAATGAACACTGTTCTTCATCTCTATTTTTATTATCATCTAAAGTTTGTTTATTAATATTTACAGAATTTTTATTGCCTTTTGCATGAGTTACTGCAACAGGTAAGCCTTTTAATTCTGGTTTATCCCTAAGACCAACTGAAACAAAAAAGCAATCCATATCTATATGCATAATGATACAATCTTGATTAATTTCTATCTTATTTTCTTCTTGTAAATCAATTAATTCATTACTAATGTTTAATTGAGAATCAAATAGTAGTCTGTTTAATTTTTTATCTTTTAATTTTTTTAACTTTATAAATCCAGGAAATTCTCCATTATTTTTATCTCTTAGTTCATTAACATATTCTTTGAATGTAGTTCCCATTGTTGAGATATGATGTAATCGTGAATGATTATAAAATTCCTTTATAAATTCTGGATTTTTTGTGGAATTAGCATCTTTTGAATTGATTGGTAATATTGAGATATTTTCTTTTATAGAAGTATGTTTAATTGCTTCAATTATATTATCATTTTTCAGAGTACTTACTTCATTATTTTTTTGCATATCATTATGTGTTTCAAAAATAACATCAGTTTCATTTCTTTTATTTTGTATTATATATTTCAATTGAGGTTGTACATTTGTACAATGAGAATAAAGCAAATAATTTTGAAAATTAAGAATTCTACTAGCTTTTATACTATCTATAATCCATTCAGGTTTACATATAGGAATTGGATTTTGACTTTTTCTATATAATATTATTTTTGAGTATGGTAAATTAGATGCAATAATATGAGTTGTTGCTTTTGGCCTCATATAATGATGATATATACCCCCATGTACCATCATTAAATGACGAAGTTCATCTGCAGTTGGATTAGTATAACCATTTACAAAAATTGCAATTCCTTTAAATATATTAGATGTTTTAATTTCTTTGTCTGCTTCATTTTTAAATTGTTCTTCTAATTTTGCTTCTTTAGCAGCCATATAGCCACCCTAAAAATATTTTATTATACTAATATTTAACTTTTCTAATAAAATTTTGAATATATTTTTCACATACCCAATCTTCAAATCCATTTTCCCCACAAGTTTCACGTTTTTTTTTTCTTGACATTATAAAAAAAATTAAATTAAATAAAATAAATATAAAACTTCTCTAATATGAAACTCTCATATAATTATCATATTAGTTAACATATATTTATGTGCATACTTTTTTATATAATAAAAAGAATGCATTTTCATAAAATAACCTTGTTGAACATTTTGAATGTAATTTAATATATCAATATGTATTTATATTCGACAAAGATTATTTATATTAGTTTTTTTTCGATGATATACACTAACATGATAAATGTAACACGATGATACTTCACTTCATATTACAATTGAGTTTATTAATCGTTCATATTACATGTCCGATTCAAATGGCTCCTCTCGACTAAATTCTTCAATAATTTTTTCAACCAAAGAATAACATACACAAAATTTTTTCATTTATTCAACAATTATTTATACAATTCAAATAGTATATATTATATAAATATATATATATATATATACACATATATATATGAAATTGATAGTAACTATATATATTTAGTTGTTACTAATTATTTATACATTTCAGTATTTCATTTAGATTTATAAATTTCATAAAATAATATTTATTGTAAATATTATTCATAATTTCGTAAACATAACAAATTTGTATATATATATAAATATTATAAAGTAAATATATTTTTTATAATAATAATAAATATAAAATAAAAATCGTATCAAACGATTCTTTTTCTATGGAGAATGTTTGTAGAATGTAGTGTTTTTGTGTAGTAACAAAAAGTTTGCTCGATGTAAATTATATGTATGAGTTGTTACACACACAACATACATATATAGATATAACATATTACAATCAAAATTTTTAGTCATTTATTTCGAAGGTTACGTAATTTTCTGAATCATCCAATATTTAAGAAAAATTAAAAAAATATTGTGCGTTTATGTGTGAAATTTATAGTGTCCAACAAATATCAGTATATAAATAGAAATTATATTGAAAAGATGAATATTCTTTTATGAGCATATACTTTGAAAAGGTTAGATATGAAGCTAAACGTATATAAAATATAAAATAAGATATATAATTAATGGATAAAATACAGCGAGGTCATAAATTATTGTATCAAAATCGATATCATTTTATCTTTCGAATTTATCTTTATCAAAAATTGTTGCTGTTTTATCGTTGAAATACTTGTATAAATAACATTTGCATAGTTTTCTTCTCAACTAATTTTACGATCTAGTTATATTATTATTTGACCAAATTGACTATATATTTTGATATATTTTGAAAATATTCTTTCACTGCATATTGCATGTGTGTGTGTTAAATTAAATTGTTATACAGAATATGTTTTGTAAAAATTACGAATTTGTTCTAAGAAAATAAAAGTCAAAACAGTATGTGGACCTAAACGAGCATAATAAGGAAAAAAACCTTTCCACAATGAAAAAACTCCTTCATTTCGACATACTTGTATTATGACATCTATTGCACCCTTAAATTCTGGTTTACCATCCACAATTTTCATATTTTGAATCCTGCAAATTATTAATAATGCAAAGTGTGAAACCATTTCCATAATTGTTTCACTAATTTAATTTTTTTAAAATTTACCTTGTTTTAGCAATATCAACTGGCATAGAAGTAATAGTTGTAACTAAACCTGATATCATAGAACTTGTAAAATGTAATAGAATATTATCCTCAAAATATCCTAATCAAGTAGATATAAAAAAAAAGATATTATACTAATGTTATTCACTTGATCCTTACTTATTTATATCTTTACAAACCAGTATTAAGTAAAGTTTCTTTAGATTGAGAATATGATGCCAATTGAGCTGCATTTACAACCATAGCTCTTCCCATTGTTGGAACAGTACCTCTCCATAATGCTAAAAAGCCTTCTTCTTTGGCTATTCGAACTAATGCATTAAATGCATTTTTATAATTACGTCTTTCAGCTAGAAATAAATATTTCTCAGAATTGTAGAATCTTTATTGAATATTCAACTAACATTTGGCATACCAAGAGGTAATCTACCATCAGCAGTCATTCTAATTAAGGCAACTTCAGCAGGAGTACCAACAAATGCTCCTACACAACCAGCAGAACTACCTATTAGTAGTTTCATAAGAAAATTTGGTTGTCTGTCTTTTCTGAACAAGAGGAATACCAAATAATTCTATATATATACGTTATTTTTTTTTAAATTGATATGAGTTTAACAGATATGTACTCACGATATTAATTCAGACAACCATTCAAATGTACCAAGTCTTGTAGTCGTATATGAAGCCTGACGTAATAAACCAGCAGATAAGCCTGAATAAAAAGCTAAAATACCCTCATTTTTTAAAATTGAGGATATTATATTTATTGTTGATATTTTAATTCCACTTAATTGCATTCGATTTTTTATTAAATCTAATGGTTGAACAACACATGTTGCAGCCATTCTAGAATAAAATAATCAATTCCTTGATAAACTTTCTAATCTTACTATAGAATTATGTTTATATTGAAAAATGCAAAAAACTAATTTTATATATATATTTTGTAAAATTTTAAATAAATTCCAATATCATAAGATATTATTTAATATAAATATTTTATAAAAATGCAGTATTTGAATTCAAAAGTAAATATTTAATTCTTTCGTTAATCTTTTATTTATATTTTTTAATATCTATATATTATTTTTTAAAATATTGTAAAATGATAAAAATAACAAACCCTGCAGTTCCCCCAAAAAGGAAATTTATTGAAGTTGATACTGTTTTTTGGTTGCTCATTTTAATAATTTAGTATAACACTTATATTGATAATAAAATGATAATTTTTAAATTAGGAATGGTTTAAAGTGAATTGTGAGAAGAAATACGATAACGAGAGAAAATACTTGTAACGAGAAAAACACAGTATGTTTAAAATGAAAAAAACAAGCACCAACTCAATATAGACTAGATAGAACTCTAAAATAAGCTAAGTGGAAGATTATTAAAATTCTTGTGAAATTCCATCCTTCGTTTACCGATACTAAATTATAAAATTTTTGCATTTTAGCGACATCTTGTAGCATAAAACTATACTTAATAAAGAACACTATACTTAATAAGAACGAATTCAACCATCACTATGTTAAAATACTAGTACAGATAATGATTGAATAATACTGTATAATACCGATAAGATAGAATCTTTTTACATGAAAATTAAAATTCAATTTTATTATTTTGAAATTTAAAATTTAATATTAAGAAAATCAAATCTTGAATATTGACTATCATTATCAACAGCAATAATGTATTAATGTACATATCAAGGCAAGAAAAAGCAAAAATAAAAAAGAGAAATATATAATTAGAAAAATTTATATATATATATATATATATATATATATATATAAGCAAAAGTTTAATAAAGATAGTTTAAAATGTTTTGTTTTTTAAAAAATATAATAATTTTAAATTTGTTTAGGTTAAAATAATAATAATATTCGTTAAATAACTAAAAAAATTGTATAAAAAATTATGAAAATCAAATATTTCATTATATATAATGAACGTCTAGATTCAAATTTATTATTAAATGAATCGCATATAAAATTTTTTATATAAAAAAAGAATAAAAATACAAAACTTATCATTCGTCAAATATATTTTATTGAAGATAGTGTCCACGAAAAATATGATGATTATAATTATTAATATTAATATTAATAATTGTTTAAATTTATGTTGATTTCAAATATCAAAGTCATAAAAAATATTTCAATAAAATATTAATTTTATCTATGAGAATCTATTATTTAAAAAAGATTATAAATTATATTTAATAATAAAAAATAAAAAATTATATCAAATGAATCAAGAAATTAATCAAATATTCACGCTAAATTTTAATATATATACGTAATAATTAAAATAAAATAATATTCATTTAGTTTTTATTAATAATATATTTAATAGTTTAAAAGACTTAACACAATTAATTTTTTTATTTACGTTGTACACTTATTTCACATTTTAACACTACTTATCAACATTCTATTATATTCTAGATAAACTATTATAAATTCAAAGACGCAAGAAGCGCGAAGTATCCATGAACCGATAAAAACTGAAGACAGATATGAATACTACGTTCGACATTCGAAAAATCGAACAAAAATATATAAATATAATAAAGAAACTCGTAGAAAAACTTAAAAAAAAAAAAAGAATTTTTTAGAAAAAAATGAAAAATATTTTTCATCATTTGAAAAATCTAAAATTTATTTTTTCCTTATAACAATAACATACTAATAAATGAATATGAATTTTTTGAAATATATAAAAATAAAGTTTTTTAAAAAATGAGGTATAAAAAATTAAATTAAAAATATTATATATTTTTAAAATCATATTTACATTTATTAAATTTTTTATAACTTTTATAAAATAATTTATGAACTTGATTAACTAAGTTAATAGCTCGCTCTAAATTAACGTATTCTTTCGTTTCTTACCAACACAGATTCTGATGTATGATTTGTGTGTGTGTGACTGGAAAGAACGAACGATGAGCTGCTGCAATAGAATTAACAAAAATTTATGGGAAAAAACTTCTTTTCGTAAACAAGTAAGTTAATATAATTACATAATATTCATATATATGTTTGCAAAATAGTCGAAAGAAAAAAAATATTGATATTTTAATCAAAAGATAAAATATGTCACAATCTTTGTTGCGCATGCGAAGTCGTTTGATTGTTACATTACTTTTTTAACGGTTTTTATGTTTAAACAACAATTTATTTAACGTACTTCTATAAAATATATATATAATGTTGGTTTACCTTTTTAAAATAATATTACATAATATTATATATAATAACATAAATATAATAACATATATTATATATAATAATGTAATATTAAAATTGAAAATTCGGAAGATTGTACGTAAAATTGAAAATTCGGAAGATTGTACGGATATTATGAATAATGCGTATATATGATTTACGATCGAAATCTTTACTAATATAGCTAATTTTTCTAAAAAATTTTCTTTTAAGTATAATTTTTCGATATATCATTTATTTCTTTTCTTCTTAATATTTGAAAATAGCTTTGTATTAAAATATACTGTAGAAGAAAATAAATGAATTCATTTAATTATTCGTTCGTAAGTGACATGACATTCGTTTTCATAGAAAAAATGGAATTTATATTAAAAATATTTTATAATATATCCACACATATAGAATTGTTTTTAGAAAAATAAAATTTTAAAATATTTTAAAATAATATATAAAAAATATAATAATGTTAATAAATTTTTGTTTCTAATATATAATTATATATAACGAAAGAAGATTAAATCAAGCATTTCTGTAAGTATTTTTATTTCTTTTCGTTTATAATGAGACAAATGAACAAAGGATACCAATTGTACGATGCACAGTACAGTAAGCAGATAACAATATTTACAAACACCAGAAAGATTTCAATAGGTTGATTCTTTTTGCTATTCGTTTTTCTATATATTAAAAAGAATAATATGCACATTAAAATAATAGTTTTTTCGGTAGATAATTAATGAAAAGTTTTTATATACGGTAGGCGCATTTTAGTTTTTTTTTTTTTTTGATAGAGACATTTTTTTAAACTATTTGCTAACATTTGGTTTCAAAATTTCATTAACTGAAAATAATATAATTTTAAACATAACTTGTTACTTTTAGAATTCTATCTCTTTTCGTATTGTGTTTGTATAATATTTCTATTTGCAAGTAATGTAACATAATTCGATATTTAATATCGTTAAGAAAATCTATTTAGATGTAAAAATGTTGTAAAATATTTTGTTCGATCGATATATATTTACTCGATTGAATCGGAATGCGATTTTAAGGTGTTTTGTAATTTGATATCTAATTCGTAAGTATAGGCATTAATTACGTAAAAATCGGATTTCTAGATTGTTATCCTCCTCCTATGCAAGAAATAGTGAGAAAAATAAATTTTTATTTTAAGGCCGTTGATTTAAAGTTTTCTAACTACTAGTTTGGTTAAAAATTTACGATAAAAAATTTAATTAGATTTAGCTAAGTTTTTGATAATATTTTTTATATGATATTTTTTTGTATTTTGGCATTAACTTATTTAGTCAAGTTTTTACCAAGAGATAAAGGTAAGTACATGCATACGTTTATACTTGTACGCATACATGTATGCACATATACATAACTTTATATTGTATCATATCTAATTTTACAAACAATGATTTTGTTTTTCTTTTTCATTTTGAATCTAATAGTCAAATTATATGATATCGAATTGTAATCACATACAATTTTGAACATTTTTTTCTTTATGTTCCTCAATCTCACGTAACTCTCTTAAAATTACGCATATATTAGAAATAATTATATTTTGTGCTTACTGACATTTTTGTTTGTTAAAATGTTTCTCGTAGTTTTTTGAAGTGTAAAAAGTAGTAGAATACGTGAAATAGGTTAGATAATATTACAATATGTTTAGCTTGAATTATAAGGTGAGGAGCATAGAAACAGTATAACAAAATATATGAAATATTTATAAAACAGCTGTTTTCATTGACATTTGTGAAATTGTGATATCATAATAAATACAAATATTCTTTTTACAAATATGAAAAATAAATCCGAATGATTATTTAAAAAAAATATTAATATTGTGTGTTGAAGAAATGAAAATATAATTCAAACGATTAATCATATTGAATTGCTCATTTGAAATAAAATTTTATATATCGAATCATAAATATTTAACGTCACAGATATATAAATAACTTTTTTTTATCATTTCACAAATGGCAACAAAGATGAACGAATACAATTGTCGTGCATGGCCAAAGCCGTGCCTTATCACATACGTATTCATAATAGTGATACACTATTTACATTGAATTTGTTCAAGAAATACTTACAATTGGATATATCCCGCGCGTAGTAGTCTCATATAATACATTAATTTTAAATTAATTAATTAATACCATTCATTTAATGTATCATATCTTGAAATATGTGTCTCGAAATAAACATTGTTTCTCAATGTGATAGATGCTCGAGTTATAGCTACGTACTTTACAATAACTATCGTCTAATTTGGACGTTGGCGGATACATTAAAATTTGTTGTGCACATTATTGCTACGCTAAAGTTTAAAACTTTTTTTTCACCGATAATTTTAAAGTCTTTCGATTTGAAAACAAGACTTCGCAATAATTCCCTTAAAAGTTGAATTTATTGTTTTTTATATTTGAAAATAGTACGAATGCTCCTAAATAATATATTTTGCCGATTTATTTTTCAGCAAAATTACCGCAAGAATACATTTTTAAATAAACGATGTAGTTTCGCTAACTAGATTTAATCAATCACAGCAACACGTATGCGTATGGAATGACATAAGCAAAAAGTTTTTCGAGGAAGAGATAGATACTCGATACAAATTGCATCATTATCCGGATTTTAAACATTCATGATATAAGAGGCGAGTAAAAAATATCTTTCAGATAAAGTATCTTCGATTTCGATTATTCGAAAATAAATTACATTTATGAAAAATCTATGAACAATTCACTTCGCATACGATTTACTTTTTTAGATTAAAATTTATGATTGTACACGTGTTCCATTCTAAGAAATTCGGATCAGACGAGGTGTCGAATCTCTAAACAAATATTAATATTTAAAATGAGCAAGGATATAGTTTTATATCATATTTTCGTTTGTTTTTTTTTCTTTTTCTTTTTGGACATGTTTCGCGTTTCGTAAAAAATGTTTATATCGATAGAATTTCATTCGATAATACGTAGAAATACGTTTCAATGCAATGAAGAGAATTTCGACCGATTTGTTCCTAACTAATCGATTGAATTCAAAAATTTCGTGTCTGTAAAAAGTGAAATATACATTTTGTAGAAAGATTTTATATAGGATTGAAGTACAAATGATAAAACATGAATGTATCTTGAACACTTAAAAAACGAGTGGTTTTGGTTCCTCGTTGCCCTATCTTATGCTTTTTTTTTTTTTTTGTTTTTTGCTTCTGTTTCTACAAGTATTTCTCGGTAGTATTTTATCTTTCGATTTGCGTTCTTCTAAGGCTTGTAACCCTGATATGTTTCTGGAAACGTTCAGCTATCAAACGGATCGAATTTTAGCGATCGTGATTCAGGAAGTCGGCGCAAATTGCTAAATGCCTGATATAGGGATGCGTTGTCAGCATCACCGGCGCTAAATCTGTGCAATAATTTATTCTCGGGATCCCACGTAGAGTTTGTCGGTTTATACGAGCGAGGAATGTGTTGTTGTTGTTGTTGTTCCCCCCGATTATTGCCAAAAACGAACTCGTTTCCTGAAAACACATTTTCACATTTTATCGAAGATTCGAAATATCGATTTGTATCCATTGTATTAATCGCTCGTTCTGTTACCTTGGACAGGGGACAGCGATCGTGGCGGTGTTCCAACAACAGGTGACAAGGGCTCGTACGGCGGTGGTGGGGGAGAAGATGGCGACGGTGTCGGGGAGTGTGGTTGCCTCAAAAGAAGATCCGGATCGAGTTCGAGGATTCTTAGAACTGTTTGAGAATTCGCTCGAACCCAGGATTCGATCAAGTCTACGGGCCAGTCGGTTTGCGTGGATGCGTCTAACATTCTCCTTGGTGGATCCCAGCATATAGCATCCGGCGGATGGGACGAGCTTCTCGCCAAAACTCCACTCCCACGACTCGCGGGGGTTGGTAAATTCGGATTACTTTGAGGCGAACACGCTAATATTTGTAGAGCTTGTATGGCATTTCTCACCTATTTTTATTTATTTATTTTTTTGTGAAATACCAAGTGTCAGTAATTTTTTTCTGATTTTCACCAGAGATGAAATAATCTCTTTTTACCTCGCAACTCAACGTGGCTACGTCCTGATGCAACGTGGAAAATTGGGTGTCCAGTCGTTCCACGGATCCTCGAATGTGTTCCTCCATCGATTCTTGAGCGATTACTTGAGCCGTCCTCCCTCTCACTAAAACTCCCCTTGCCGGCCTTCTTGCCTCTCGATACTCGTCCCTGCGTCGAATATTTGAGGATTTTTTTCAAGATTGGGGGACAGACGACAGGAGGAGGGGGGGGCAGATAAATTTACCTGAATTTGGCGTGTCTCGGGCTCGAAGACGTGTGCAAAGGTGATTTGTTCGGCGGTGACAGGGGCGACGTCTCCCCTTCGTCAGGCACGTTTTCATCGTCTTCGCTAATGGAGGGTAACGTTAACGACGGCCCATTCATATCCGATTCTTGCTAAAATTAAAACAATTTTGGAAATTTTGCGCGTGAATCGAGACCGTCTTCCACCTCTCTCCTCCTCTATCCCCTCCGATATCGAAGGAATATACTGAAGATTATTGTACCTCGGCTTCGTATCCCTCCCGTAAATTGTAAGTGAGATCGTGTTGTATATCATTTGCAAACTGATGCTGATACTCGGGATACAAACGAAGCACCTCGACTAATCCATGCATATTTATGCACTTTAAATCGCAGTAGGTTAACGCTTTAACGTCGCAACTCGATTTGACTACGACATCCGCGGCACCTCCTCCACCTGCCCCACCACCGTTACTCGTGTGCTGCAGGTGGACGTTTATGTCACAGCCTACCAGATCACCTTTACCTTCAAACGAAATTCAAATTTGCCGATTCCATTTTTCGAGCATCGAAAATAAGGAACGTATATATATATTATTTATATATATATATATATATATATATATATATATATAATTATTATTTATATATATATATATATATATATAAAATAAACTCTTACCTAAGATCGCAACGACCATGTTATTTTGCACAACCTCCATGGAACCGTTGCACAAGTAATATATGTAAGAGAGTGCATCCCCTTTGTGAACTAAAAACTCGCCGGGGGCGCAAAAATTATTTTTAATTCGGAGAGATAGTAATTTGAGACAGCCCTGGGAAGCGGGCTCGAATATCGGTAAATTTAATATCTCGCGATGTAAATGCATCGAAACATCTCCTCGCAGCTCCTCTGGAAATTGTTTCAGGGTCTGAAAACGTGGACTGGCGTCAATCACGGAATAATAAACGGATGATTAAATTATAAGAACAAGAGCAACAACGATGGACAATTTCGGTGATTAAGTAAGTGTAATTATGATTAATCGGGATTATTATATAATTTATATTCACCTCGTGTATATCGATACCATGATTCAAGGACCACATAGTTTGGAAATAGTCTTGCATACGTTGTTTCAGTTCTTCGGGGATCTGATGCAATACGAAAAAATCCTTGAGATCCCGCAATTTTGTTTGGTATAGAGATCTTCTAGAGTAAATTCTTTGAATAATTGCAGTCACGTTACCAAAGACCACGGCATGCATCAGAGCTGTAGCATACACGATATGTACAATGTGGAAATAATTCCAATATTTGTGTAAATTTCCATTCAAATTTATTCCGTATTAATTAACATCAATTCGCCCCTTCAATTCACGTGTATGCAAATTTTTCCTTTTTTTTTTTTTTTTTTTTTTAGTGATCGAAAGAAAAAAAAAAGACAAGCGTGCGGCAATCGATTTTAATTAAATCGATAATCCTTACTACGGAATAACGGTATAAATATATTATTGATCGATGATTGTTTACTGACCACCAATGAGCATCGTGCAAATTGAGAAGAACTTCTCGGAGAATGTATTGGCCGAAACATTTCCAAATCCTACCGATGTCAGGCTACTGCACGTGAAATACAACGCGGTGATGTAACTTTCCGCGTGGGTTACGTTCTCCACCGAAATCTTCAATTTTTCCGCCAACGTGTGAATCCAACCTGGAAAAGTGTGCTCGTGTCAAATCGCGATGGTCGCATCACCACCACCACCATCATCACCACGTACACCACGTACGATCGAAACGAAGATTTTTATCGCGAGGATATCGCGATGAGTGTGGGAAAATCGATAAAATTCTTAATTTACCCGAGTCTCTTCAATTATGTCGACCTTCGCTAGATCGCGCACCCTTAAATCTGTGGATAACAGATCGAATCTCTATAGAGAGATAGGTAAGTATTAAGAGGTCATCTGCGAGGCAGCTGATTTAATCGTGCCTGGTGAGGTGGGATCCGCGTTGTATCTCCGGTTTTTAAATCAGTTCATTCGTTCATTCACGCGAAACGAAAAGATTAAACAGAGATTAAACCGCGATTAAGTGGACGCGAATTGTATTTTCTCCTATTGGAAGAGAAATGTTTGCACATGAATATATAACTTTTAATTAATACAGAGCCGCTTCTCAAAAAAACAAGTCTCTCTTTGAAACGAGGGATACGTATATTTAAACGTTATATAGATACGAAATAGGTTACCAGGTGTTTCTTTAGAGGTTCTATTTAGAGGAGAAAAGTAAAGATAAGTCGTTGAGAAACACTTTCTCGACTTCCCAACCATTCGAGTGTCTCCCGTCAAGCTTGACTTCAAACAAATTTCGCGGGGCTTTGTACGTTTTGGCGAGAAAGATTGGTTGGTGAAAAACTTACCGAGATCCCAATCGTTGTCGTTTCTCAATCTCTCTTTTTCAGCGATAACGAACCAGATACAGGCCAACCAATGCGCCACCAGGATGAAGAACAGCATCAACATGGTCAGAATCACGGCGCTGTACTGCGAGTATCTGTCCATCTTTTGAAGCAATCGGGCCAGCCTCAATAATCTCGTCAATTTCACCAAATGAATATTACCGTGCCCCGATTCCTGACGAGAAGAGAAAAGAAATACAAATTGTTATTATACGTTCTGAAATTACGCTCGAGATTGTTCATCGTTGATGGAAATAAACCGTGATTCGTATCGGTAAGTAAATAAACAGAAAATCAAAAGAAAACGTCAATATTGAAAGTTGAATCGATAATAATTATGTGTTCTTGCGTATTATATATTTGTTGCTTTCTAGATTGTACGCATTCATCGTGGAGATATGTCGCTCGAAGCGTCGTTGAAACGTATCCCCTCCCGTGTTTTCAAAGGCAAGGACACGGACACGAGGAATATGCTGTACAATTTAATAATACATCGACCTTTGCTAAACGAACTTCATTCACGTCTTCGCTTTCGGATATTGCACAACTCGTATCTCGTTTTCCTTACATTTCTCGTTAGAGCATCGACGTTTCATTGGATTTGAAAGTTGGATTGGTGAAACTGTTTCGAGCGAGCAGCACAAGACTCCGCGTATACATCGTACAACAATGTGCGACGATTTAGAGGTTAGAAACAATACGTAAATAACTTGGATAAAAAGTAACCGACTTCTTTTAATCTCTCGTATCTCGTTTTCATTACATTTCTCGTTGGAGCATCGACGTTTCATTGGATTTGAAAGCTGGATTGGTGAAACTATTTCGAGCGAGCAGCACAAGATTCTGCGTATATATCGTATAACAATGTGCGACGGTTTGGAGGTTAGAAACAATATGTAAATAACTTGGATGAAAAAAGTAACCGACTTCTTTTAATCTCTTGTTGTCAAGATCAGTGAACAGTGTTTTGAATAGCGTCTTGCCTCGTCTTTGTTAGATAAAAACAATTTTCGTTAAATCAATACATAAACTATATGATTTGAAATTGGATAAATTTTTGTTCGGCGTCAATCCAAGTTTAATTTCATCTCGAATCATTATCGGAGGTTTTGTTTTTGTTAATAACGAAGAAAAATCGTCGAGTAAATTGTTCTCAAGAATATGAGGATCTTGAAAAAGTTGAAATATTGAAAAAAAAGACTCGTGAAGATCAAAGAATCGTGCCTTTTCGCGAATAATTAAGCGTGTTAAGTGGTGTTATGCGATAATTAAATTACTCACCTCGCCGCTGTAAACGTCGGACGCGTAGAGAAAATCAAAGGGCAAGGCGGCGACAAGATCGACAAAAAACCATCCCTTTAGATAGTTGACAGCGATGCTTTTGCTGTTGCTGACCACTTCACCCTTTCTGCTCACATAGGTCGTCCTAAAGTTCAGAACGATATCTGGGGGAAAGATGATTCGATCGTTTTCTTCCGATATTTCGTAATCGATACACGCGTGTTTTTCGAATTATTAAATTAACGCGAGTTGAAAATCAAGTTGGAAACTTTTGTATTTTCGTCGAAAGAGACGAAGTAATATACACTCTCTTCGACTTCTTCCTTTCTTTCTCCTTTCTCGTCATGGAAATGCAACGCGTTAAAAAGTTTATAGCGATGAACTGGTTTTTAATCTCGTTAACAAACCATATCAAAATTCGCACAGCATCGTTTACAGCATTTTTACGACGAATAGAATACTTTTCAATATAAAATTTTTCTGAAGGGAGAAATAAATTTAAAAAAAGGCGAAATAAAAAAAAAGGTGTGAAGACACCTTTTGATATGGTAAACGAAATTACAATTTTCTGTTCTCGAAGAGAGAAAGAGAGAGAGAGATAGGATCTCGTTGAACACCCATGAAGAGCTCTTCGAACATCTTGTTACTCGATATTCAATTCAGGTATTGAATCAATTCAGTGTGTTTGTAGAGCGATTGTCACGTTACTTAAAGAACACTAAGACTTTATACCAGATATGCACGGTTATATAATGTTTATATTTAAATTAAATTAAATTAAATTAAATTATTCTTATCGATTCTTTTTTTTTTTTTTCTTTTTAGAACGAATAAACCGAGGATAAAGTAAATTTTTTAACATAACGTGCGTGGAAGGAAACTGTTTCACTGAGTGACGGTAATTGAAACCATCGATTATTCATAGATTGAAGGGAAGAATCGTTTTGCTTTCCAACTTAACGAGCTCCTCGAATCGCGAATCCTTCTCGTTTCGTTCTTGATTGGATTATTTTAAAAAAAGCATCGATCGATATCCATATCCGAATAATTTAACAATTAATCATTTTAGGCTTTAGAAAAAGAATCTTTCCCCCCTTTCCCCTTTTTCTTTTTCACAACTTTTTTTCCTCGTTAACTAAACTCAGAAGAAATTAATTAATTAATTGCTCGATTCACTTACCGGTTATGAAGAGTGCCTCGACGACAACGTCGCTGACCATCGTCGGCCTGTCGATGTTAATGAAGCTCGCGTTAAAAGGGACCACGATCGCCACGTAAAATGTCGCGAGGAGTATTAACCAATCCCAGCAAGACTTGAAGCCACCGTAGTGGCTCAAAATGAATTGAGATTTTTTTATTCCCGTCGTTTTATACTCGGGCAACGGTGGCGCGGTGGAATGAAGAAGATTCTATAACGGCAAATTATTCCTTCTGATTTGTCTTGTTGTGAATGAAATGGACAATGATTTCCCCGTCCCCGGTAAATTAAAAATCGGTAACGATGCACTTACGTTATTCAATTTAATTTTGTGCTTATTGTCCTGTTTGTAATGGCCCGACAATTGATAAAGGACGGCGCGGCTCCTTCTCCTCCCGTAATTAGCCGGCGGTGCTTCCGGATCGAGGCCACCTTTTGCGTCTGAAATGTTCAATCGTACACCATACCGTATATAACTTTCTTCCCAATTATTTTTTTAAATAATACTCGTACTCGTGATGTGCAATTAAAAGGGAGAAAAAAGCGTGTGTGTATGTGTGTGTAACCTCGATTATCGAAAAAAAAAAACACGATTTATTATTCGATTTATTATAATTTTTCTTTAATCAGTTCCATCAGTGACAGTGACAGTTCTTCTTCGTAATCGAGGATTCTTTTTTCATTTACGTACGTAATTTTCGTTTCAATCGAGAGATGAACAGCGCATAGTGCGAAGAAAATATGTTCGAGTGCGATGATACATACGTAGTAGTGTTTGGATCGATTTTTTTTTTTTTTTTTGCGAACAACACGTGCAATTATTATTTAAATTTCTCGTTATAAGAAAAAGCAAATTGTTGGAAGCCGTTTGAGTTCGTGCTGCGCTTAGTGTTTTTTTTTTTTTTTTTTTCTTTTTTTAAGAATATATAATAATAGCTTGCTAATAATATTGCATATTGTAGGTTTCACGTGCGTAGCGTGTAGCGTGGCCGCGGTGGTTAGGAGGCACGAAACGTTGGAACATACGTTGAAAAAGTATGTACACTGGGAACGTTTAATCCATACCCGATGTATGGGCCCGTGCTCGTATACTTTGGAATGCAATTCATCAGTGACGTCGATCGAAATGCATTCCAGAGAAAAATCGTTTCGTCAGAGTCTGAGTTCGGCAGCGAAGCTTGGCTAGAACTCACCACTATCTTGCAACTCACACAGCTGAAGGTTCTTCGTGTGGGTGATGTCCTTGTGCGAGGCCAGAAAGAGGACGACGTCGCCCTTTTCGTTTTTGATCGGGACAATATCGAGCAGACAGTCGAATGGGCTTCCTGTTTTATATAATTAAAAATTATAAAAGTCACTGATCCTCGACTTGAAATGAGAAACGCTTTTCTCCTCCCTCCTTTTTTTTTTTTAATCTCCCAAAATCAATAGTGAAAAAAAAAGTAGCACGTATTATTGAAAGCACGAGCAAATGCTTATGCAAATGTAACAATAGAATCGATTCGATAGAATAGATTATCTTGATTAAACGTGATTCCGTTTGCACCTGTGCTCATCACGTCACGATTAATAACGTTTAATCGTAGCATAAATCATTTCTCGTAATAACACGTGCAATTAAATAATCTCGGCGAATCAAAATCTAACGGAGTTTATTTTCGTATCCTCGTTGAAAATTTTAATAATAAAAAAAAAAAAAAAAAAACGATAACAATATCGGAAAAGGAAAAAGGGGAAGAGAAGAGAAAATTATTTTTAAAATTTTAATCTCGCTTTTCCCCCAAGGGATTGTTTCGATTGTGCATGCAAATCGTAGGGATTTGATAATTGAAGAGAATAATTAAAATTAAAACTCGAATAAATAAAACGTTAATTAAATAATAACTCACCGTTCTTTTTGTAGAACACCACTTCCATCTTGAGCTCCGTTTTGCTCTCGAGGCTCTTGTCGATCATCGCCCTTTCCTCTTCTTTCGTTTCCGGGCCATAGAGGAATTTGCAAGCGCAACCCTTTTGCATGATTTGCGCTCGCGCGAATCCTGTCAGCTCGCAGAAACCGTCCGAGCAATAAACGATCGGATAGAGGGACGGAACCTGCGCATTTCCCAGCACAAAATTGCTGTCTGCCAACAGAGAAATAACGGGCGCATAATCTCGATTAATAAATGGAGCACGGATTCGTTTCGACTACTTTCTATCCTACTGAAGTCTGAAATTCTCCCCTTTTGTTTAAAAAAAAAAAAAAAAAAAAAACAAAAAGAGGAGGAATACGTTTATTATCATTTTATTTTCCAACAATTCGAGAATATGAATTTTTACCAATTAACTTTGCGCGGAATTTCAATTATCGTTTTGATGAATCAATTTATCAGTGTTCATTTTACAGTTTTTTTTCTTTTTTTTTTTTTTCAGTTGGCGGACCAATTGAGTTAACGATACGAGAAAGGAAGAAGAAAGAAGGGGAGGGGCAAGAGAGGGGTCGAAAGAGAAGTCTGATTGACGTTCAACATTGCGAAATTGTTCCACTTATGTTGTTAGTTTTGTTCATTTCTGTCGAATTTCTTCTAGGCGGAGCCTATTCTCTCTCTCTAAAAAAAAAAAAAAAAAAAAAAAAAAAAAAGAAATTACTTTACTCGCGGTCATATTCGAAATGGAGGCGAGGCAAACAAGATTTCGTTGATTATTAACACACGGGAATAACGGGTGTGATGCAAGAAATTGATGCATGACTGCATCGTGTGGTACAGTTCATTGGTTGATGAGCTTTGTCTACGTGTCTGACGTCACGCATAATCTCTTTCAACGTACTATTTTTAATTTTACGCTCACACCCCTTGAAACACTTTCATCTTTTCCTTCAAGCCTTGTGAGATTTCAACTCCCGACGCTTCTTCCTGTTCTTGGAAACAAAATCAATGACTCTGTTTATCAAAGGAGTTTTGTTGTATGCCGTTAATGCCTCTTTTCCAATTCTTCTTCTTCTTCTTCTTCTTCTTCTTCTTCTTCTTCTTCTTCTTCTTTTCTTTTAACTAATGTCCAAGTGTACCATTTGACGTAAGAGAAAAGATGCTCTCCTTGAAATAAATGCGATAACGGAAGCGCATTTATTTTTTTTTTTTTTGTCTTCTTCTTTTTCTTTCTTTCTTTCGAACGAACACGTTTAAACAATCTCGCGCAACTTTTTTTTGCACGTTTCAAAAACGGATCGTGATGGCCGATGATGAAGTCACCCTTTATGAAAAATAATGATTGTCGCGTGTATGGTAGGGAGTCGATCTGTTAGGAAGGGATGTAAGATAAAAATACGATTTAGGGGTAAAGTTTGAAAATACTAAAGTCTAGGCGTTTTAATCTACTCCATATTTATTCTTATACAGGATCCGGCTGAATAATATATACAAAAAAAAAAAAAAAATAAAAAAAAAAAAAAAAAGAAAAGAAAAAAATAAATTAAATTAATAAATAAATTAAAAATAAATTAATTTTCAGTTGGATAAGAGATCATTAAGTAAAAAAATGTAGAATAAAATTTTATTGTTTAAGTCTTTGTTTTTTGAGAAAATCAAAAATTTGTAAAATCGACGATTTCTAAAACGATTTGCGTTTTCGAAAATTTTTAAACGGAATAAAATTAATTCTATACTTTTTTGTTTATTTTCACACGTAGATTAACTTTTTATCTATATAATTCATTCTATATGCAATTGGAAATTAATTCAATTTCAGTTGTAATCGAAAAATTTTCAATCTCGATTTTTTCAAAAATTGGAGGCGAAAAAAAATTGTTTTATTTTTTATTTTTTTTAATTTTTTCATAAAGAATCATCCATATGTCCATTCGTGCATGTTATTTAGCCGGATATCTGTATACATTCCTCATTTGTTAATTGAATTTTAACACGTAATTAAAATAGAGATCGCGCAATATTTTCGTTCTATCGCTCGAGATTAATTTCGATTCAAGTAAATATGTACCTACTTGACCAAATAAATTTATAATAAGTTTAATGAGAATTAATCTCCTCGCGTTTCAAAGAGATTAAGCATTTAATAATATTGAAATAAAATGAATTTCAACCGACACAAGAGACACGAATAAACGAGAGAGATGTAGAAAATGTACATCCTCCTTTTTAATTATGATTCTTATTTTCATACATTTGTGTGCACTCGGTTGCAAAAGTATTCATATTCGTGTTTTCGAAAAATCACGTTTATTTCGATTTTTAAAAATGAAAATTTTCATGCACACAATGCGGAACAATTTATTTTTTTCGAAAGAAAATCTCATTACGTACGTATGAAATCGATCTTCAAAATTTTTACCATTTTTATTTTTTTCCTCTTCGTCCCTTTTGTACACAATTTCCATTAAAAATATTTTTTACAATAGCATAATAAATATTAATCTCGAGTATTTTATACATTAATCTCTAAATATATTTCCATTATATTAAAAAAAAAAAAAAAAAAAACAGAATTAAAATAATACCGAAACTTTAAAGTTTCATTTTATCCATTTCGAAGCGATATTTCATTAATAAAAAAAAAAAAAAAAAAAAAAAAACCTCTGCATATAATACCTACGTGTTTCCCATTTGTTTCGCGTTATTCTTGATAACACAATTTATTAATTTGAATACTTTTGCCGAACTGATCGTAAACACATTTCCAATATTTATACACGTAAAATTATCTTTCGATCGTACATTATGCAGGTACTGTAACTAACACGTGTAAATCGATGATCGCGAGAACGACAGCGTTTACGATCAACACATCAGCTGCTAAAAGCGGCGTAAACGCTATAGTTTCAGTTGAACAGTCTGGACAAAGACTAATGGAGTCGATAAACTTGCACACGTATCGCGCGCATAGGCGTTAGATTAAATGGCAGAAAACTTATGAACAGCGAAAACTGTTCTTTTAGAGAATACCAGTGTTGAAAGATGGCAGGTATCGGACGGCCGTCTCTGATGTCGGCGCGTAAATACGTAAATAAAAAGGCTTCTTGTTGGCAAACTTCTAAATTCGTCGCGAGAAAAGCTCGTAATCCAAGTAAGTAAATAATGGAGGAGCGGCCGGTGTAAAAATAGCCGCCGGACCATGAGAACTGCATTTTAAATAAATATAGATTATACGACAGTATATGTGGATAGAAGAAAATTTACATGGAAGGAAAACAAACAGGGAGAAAAATATTGTGAATATGCACGAAAATCGTATTCCATCCGTGTGAATGGTGTGTTATTACCGCGACACGTTAATTTTTCAAGATTAAACAAAAATATGTATATACGGTGCATACATATTTGGTTACATATTTTTTTTTTTTTTTTTTAAATAACGGAAGATAAGAGATAGAAATATATTTATAATCCGTGATTTCGATTTTCCATGCAAATTTTCCATGGTCGAAAAATACAAAATTAACAATAGGCGGTTATCTTTTTAGATACGAGATATATTGTATTAAACCGATTAAACAGCGGTATTATGCGCAAGGTAAAAGGGTTTAAACGATTTATCTCGAATATTTCTTCTCTTCTCGCGATATAATAATACGTGCAAATTTAGATCGATAAAAACGCAACTGCTAAATTGCTGCGTTCTTCGAAAATAAATCGGAACGGAATTTTATGTGATAATTTACTCGCTTGTAGAACAGATAGACATTTTTTTTTTTTAAAACTATAAGCCCAAGAGAGACGGAATAGATTTTCACGTTTACCGATCGTTAATTGAAAAGCGATAACTGCACGCATCATAATTTCCATATAGCCATATTTCACCGATAACCGCAAAATAATTAAGTGGATACGACGAGGGTGTGTTGCTGTAGCTATTGTGGTTAATGTGGTTCAATTTATGTTCTATTAGATACGGTTGAACGGTATATTTAGCATTTATTATTTATTACGAGACATTTGTATTTTATACACGTGTTGATGAGTGAGAGACACGTATAAAAAATAATCTCATTCTCAAACATATTTTAATTTAACGATAGTCGCGAATTAAAACTTGACGTTGTACACGTTGTGTCTTCTTTTCTCCCTTTTTCTTCTTAATTTTTCCTCGAACGAATTAGAATTTCCTATTTTTCGACGATTCTTCCGAACTGTTCCTCGATAATGAAATAATCGTACGTGTAAGTACGTGTTATTCTCGATGTTAATATTACATGGAGAATATAATATAATAAAGTGGCTTGATCAAATTTGAAATTATCGTATCGTAAATGGGGAAAGGAGGAGAGAAAATCTAGCGGTAAATTGTATCGACTTGTTTTCAATACAGTTTAAGAAGTCCGATATTGGATAAAGTCGATACTGTACAGTGTACAGGTTCTCGAAGACCGTTTGATTAATTCTTATTGAAGATTCAACGAAGGGAATAATGTGCCGCGCAATCACAATTATTATTAGCAGGATCCTTTTTGATTTTTTTTTTTTTTTTAAATTAATTAATCACTTTTGAAGTTTTTCACGTTTGACCTGTATATCGCGAAATACGTAATATTCTTGAAAGGTCGGTCTTCATTGTAACACGAGTCGCCATTTGCTCTATTTAGGAGTATTCTCTCGAGTTACACATTCATAGCTTTTTCTTTTTTTTAGAGGCTTAAGCTTCCATTTCAAATCTAGAGATTTTTACCACGAATCTCGTAGTAGCGAAGGGTATGAATATATATATATATTTTTTCATTTTTAAAAATGTAATTGAAATTAAATTTTCAGAGGAATTTTTTTTCACAGGGCGCGAAAAAAGTCGATGTCGAGAGTAAGGAAAAACGACAGTATTTATAATCTTCGTTCTTCGATGCAATTTAAAGAGGAAGGCCGAGAGACTCATTACTTTACAGCGGAACCTTATCACCCATGATTGAGGTCGGTGACGATGATAACTTAGCAATTTCCCACTGAGGTCGTGGTGTACCATTCCCTCCCCCCTAATCAGATTTCTACAAAATTTCGAGTACGTGGAATTGTGAGGCAAATGGAACGGTTTAGGAGGGGGCCGGAGGGTTCCGTTCCCTTTAAATTGCCTCTTGCATTGAATTTTTCGAACTCTCCCCGAAGCGGCCAACTTTTCCCCGTGAGTATGAAAACACAAAAGTCCAATATTCCGTTGAAACTGATTGCCGCTAAGACGGCGGAGGAGGGGGAGAACTGGGCCACTTACGAAATCCATCTTCTCCAATACTTGTCCCCCTCCCCCGCCTTATGGCAATTCGAACGAAATATCCTTCGTAGAGATTTCAAGAATTTTTAATTTCCTTCCTCTTATCGTAAGAAGAAAAAAAAAAAGTGAAAGAAACAACTGTTATGTCGATTCGAAAGAACACGTTTTAAAATTTTCGACATGAAAATTCTGCTTCGAATAGGGAGAGGGGGATATTTTTCTCTTACACGGTCCTCCATTTGCTTTGGAACGTCTCTCTTAGAACATGAGAGACAGAGAGAGAGAGAGAGAGAGAGAGAGAGAGAGAAAAGAGAGGATTAAGCCTTGCCATGGAGTAGCTTAGCCATACCTTTTCAAAAAAAAAAAAAAAAAGAAAAAATTTCTTTCCTCCCATTTGAAACCGTGATGAATGGATTCGTTTAATCATTGGACACTGCGTTTCCAAGAAACGAGCGGAAACGAGACTCTCTGATAATTGATTACCGATTTCTTTCGTAGGGGAACATTTGGAAGAAGGAAATTGTCTTGGATAATTGATAATTTCAATGGTTCCATCGATGGAAATACATCCGTCCGTCTTGTGCCACTACCTTAAACCATAAACGATTTATAACCAGTTGGAACCACTTACGCGCCACTTATACACGTTATGCATATTCTTGATTCGGGGGAAGAAGACTATGAATCGATAAACGTTATGTGTCTTTCTCGGAAACGCCCTGCGTCATTACTTTTCTTTTCAATGTTGGGTGCTACGATAAGATAAGTGTCATTGATATCGAACGGTCATTAGGGTGTCGATCAATACCTGAATGCTCGAATGCATTTTTTTCGGCATTTTTTTTTTTTTTTTTTTTTCAGAAGTAAATGCGAGATAATAATTGTTAATAAAGAGGGGAGGGAAATGGGAACGGGGGATGTGTATTCGATATTTGCGTGTGTTTTAAAATTGTAATTTTCAATATATCTTTGAATATCTTAATCTGGAGAGGAGCATCTGAAACATGTTTCAGATTTCAAAAAAGTTTTTCAAAAATAAATGGTTCTTCAATCAAAGTCGAATCAAGTGAAAAGTTTAAAGGTAAAAATCTGTTGCCTTTTTTTAATTTTAATTTTATTGTCTCTAACGTGAATTTTTGCCAATATTTCTTGGAATATAAAATACGACACGAGATTTTAGAATCTCGTCGCGATTCCGTGTTATTAATTTGGAATATTGGAGATGAAGGTAATTTAGAATATGGAATATTCCAAGAACTACGTTATTCGGATTAGTTAAATGACGAGGAGATATCGATTAACCAAACAAAAATGGGTAGAGCTGTATTTAACGAAGACTTTGCAAAATACGTTCGATCGATTTCTATCTCTGCGACAAAAAGGGAGTAAATTTTTTAACAAATTATAATTCCTATATCGTGTTTTTTCATTCACACGAGGGAATAATTTTAAAAATAAACGCTTTTTAATCTTTTTAATCTTGTAAAATTTTACTAGATTTTACAAGATATTTGTGCAATAATTTTTTACTCTCTTCTTGAACAAACAACGCAGCTTGCACATCGTTCGATTAATTTTTCCTTTAGAAAGAATATATCTGCAGTCTTCTCTTTCTTTTTTTTTTTTTTTTTTTTTTTTGAAAATTGAAAATGAACGAAATATTTGCTCACGTGTCGTTTCTTGTTTGCCCTAAGATACATTTCGATCGTGAGATTCTATGTACTTTTCACAAATTGATACGCGGTTGTTGGGGCTTGGAAAATTTACTTTTACTCGATATCAATCCTGACTTTCGAAGACAATTTCTAATCGAGTTACACGTTTATCCACTCCTGTGGTTTCCCATATATAATATATACTCCTATTGCAATTAATACGACATTATATACGAATCTTTAAAGTCAAAAAAGTAATCGTCGAGATTATTATTCCGTTATTATTTCGAAATTATTAGATTTGTATATAATAAAATAAAGAAGAAATGGAAGAATAGAAAAGCACGTTTGCAATCAGATTTATGTTATCGGGATATATTTATTCGTGGTCGGTTGTTAAATGAAAGTTTCGAGGTCATCAAGTTATACATAGTAGAACGCGCAGCTTTGAATTTGTTGAAATTCTATTCACAAGTTGGATCGTTGCGATATGATGATTTGATGTTGAAACATGTACAAAAAAAAAAATCGAGAACTGTCAAAGATATTTTAACGAGATTTTCCGTTTTTATTTCTCTTACATTCATCTTTTCTTTCTTGGATATGCAATGGTATAGCAAGTGTAGTATTATTATACGCGTCTCGATTTCGTGTCTGGCGTTTGCTCGATCATTACTACTTCGAAGAAACGGATCTCGCTACCGGCGTACAATTTGTATTATTGATCTGAATATTTTATCTGCTGAGGAAGGGAGGGGGAGGGGGAATTACAAGCTTAGAAAATCGCTTTGAAATTATCAACTTTTTCAAATTGTAATATCTCGAAATTATCGACCGAAGTTTACTTTTAAAATTTTTTTTTATTAAATTGTCGTTCACTCTACGATCATGATTCCTTATTTTATTTCATGAGAAGTATTTGATTAATAATAATAAATAGGCGATGATAATCGCTAATAACAACAACAAAGGCCATTCAGGTGTACATGTAAAGATATTTCTCTAGCTTTCTTACTCTCCTCTTAATTCCACCACTCGACACTCATTGTTATTCAATCGCTTTTAATAGATTGTTTTCCTTCCTGAAACAAAAGCAGCTTTTTCCCTTCGATTTTTCGCGCGAAAAATTGCATGAAAACGCGGAATCACGAAATTTGTTTGTAAAGAAGAAGAAGGGAGTAAAGACGAAAAAAAGAAGAAGAAGAAGAAGGATAAGCAAGAGATATTAGATCGAATTTACGAGAATTGGATCGCGAATATGTATAAGAGAACAGAAGAACGAAAGTCGATTCTCATGGCGTCGATGTTAGATTAATAATTTACGCTCTGTCTGGGGTCGACGGACTTATGGTAATAAAAGAGGGTGTACTCAGAGTTTGCTCATATGCATTTTCACGGCCAAAGGGGTTGCGCTTTCTTACGAGCTAAGCTGTTTGAAATATATTACGAAAATTATAAACTTTACTTTATACTTGAAACAAAGTTTATTTTAAAGTTTTAATCAGATGGATACTTCGGTTTGAATGAAATGAAATTTCGATATGTATCAACGAAAATATATATATATATATAAAAATTGAGAGATAAATTTTTCGTCTGAAATCTCCAACGTTTCTAGAATCGTAATATTGACGCATCGGCGAATACATGTATATGGTCACTAAATTGGTCGTGTTTGTTTGTTTTGAGCAGATACAACAAATTTGTATGCGATGCGATATATTTATAATCGAGCTTATATATATATATATATATATATATTTACAAATTCCTTTTTTCTTGGAATCGATTAAAAAGGAGAAAGCCGTTGGATAGACGTGTAAAAAAGTTTGCCAAAAGGAATATTCCAATTGGCCCTCGACGAGTCTTGGTCAGCAAAGACAAACGAGTGTTTGAACAGTCGTCAACCATCCTTTACCCCAGTTGGCGTTACGCCAAACACGAACTCGAAGAAAGAAAGAGAGTGCCAAAAATATCCTCGGAATAGGTACTTCGAATCTCGTTAACGAGCAATTATTTCCCTTTCCCCTCCCCTCCGCCGAGATCAGATAGTTCTCAATGGAAATAATACCTCGACCAAACCTCATTAGTCGTCCAACGAAGATTTTCTTTTTAGTAAGGATAACCGGCTACGATACGTTTCGAGAAATACTCCATCATATTCGGGCGAATTTTCATCCTAAATTTTTTATCATTACTTTTTTTATAATAATCACCCGAAAAGGAAAGCGTGAAAAACATGGCAACCGGAGAGATCGAGAGAGTAATAATTCCACGAGGGTCGTCGTATCCTCTCGAAGCGACCAAGCATACAACGACACGATCGTCTCGAAAGTGTGGTAAACAAGCAGCCCGCCCCCTCCTCGATCGTACTTGCTTGAACTAATGCAAATAATGGTTTCGATCGGCGGGGGGATCGAATTTTCCCTCGCGTAATTATGAACGGAGAACGCTCCTCGTTCGAATATCGACGAGCAAATCGGCCACAGATACCAACAGATCGTTTACCCCGGACGCGAAAATTAAGTTCCCACGTTTTTTTTTTTTTTATCGCGCGATTAAGCCGATTGATAATCCTCTTAGGAAGGGAGAAACACATGGACCGGATGTTTTTGCAAAAATTAATTCCCTCGTGGTATATGGTAATACAATATTGCGCAACAGTCGCCGTGCACATGAATATGCATACGTATATCCGACACTGTGTTTCGACATCGCGAACTGTGTTTCGCTAGCTTATGTAAATACATTTATATACGTGCAAAATAATATTCGAGTTTAAAGAGGATTTGAAACGATTCGAATCCCTCGATTAAAAAAAGAAGAAGAAGAAGAAGAAGAAGAAGAAGGAGAAGAAGAAGCAGTAGTAGCTCGAAGATTAGTCGGGATCGAATGCAATTTTCGTCGCACCAACCTCGAGAATGGGTCGGTGTTCCATTACTTTCCAACGCTTCTCTGTTTAATTCCCTTAACAGAAGATGATGAGGATTTTTCTCGTCGCAACACACAACTTTCTCGTAATTAGTTTTTCTTGGCCCGAACCACGTTCTAATTTTGTACCCATCGCGTGTATCGCCTCCTTTCCTAAAACGCCGCCTCATGAGAAACCTCGGATGAAACGTCGAATGCAAAATTTTCGCTCGGAAAAGATTAGCCGAATACGTGCCCCGAATTCGATACATTCGATCGAACGTGGTAAACCGTGGTGGTAGTAGTATTAATCGTCCAATTTAACCGGCCAATATTCCATTGTTAACG